TTATCAATTTAAAGTGCAAAACAAAAACCACAGTAAACTGATGCAGAAACCACTAACTCACCGGTTTATAGCCATGCCCTTGACGTGACTGAGCATTGCTTACACTCTAGTGATTAATTGTAGTTTGAATAATGAGATGAGGGAGGATATTAATAGTGATGATTTTGGTTCCATTGATGTAGACTGAAAATTTTCTTTCCTTTTCTGCTCAGACTTTCACATTGATTTAGCAAAACACACAGTGCCGTGGCTGCCAGCTACAGAACAGACCTGGCCCTCGGGCGACGGCAGTCCTGATTGTGTTCAGATAAGGACATGCTCAATTCTGCCTCGTACTATTTGCATTTTTTTCCCCCGGCTTCACGCAAATTGAAAGGTATGCATATCAACACAGACTTATACGAGGGGATCGTAATGAGTAGAAATAATGAAGTCCAATGCATTCTCTTCTGCCGTGGTGCCTGATTAGACTGTCAAGACTTCACAAAAAGGGAGGGAAAAGCATGGATAAGAAGGGAAAAACTAATCGGTTCTGAGTCAGGCCATCGTTTGCCAAAATATTCAGAGCTTTCATGACATGTTCTTTTGTCGGAGGTTTGGCTCTTATTCAGACCATCCATGAGGCCTGGAGAGTTTGCCCCTGGCTTTCAAAGGATTGGCCTCGCCTTGTTCCATAGAGAATGATCAACAAGCACCAGCCTAGTGGAAAGGTCATGCAAGTTAAGGTGGAGTGAAATGGATGAGTAAATGCACCTAGGAGACAGTATCACTGAATAAAAACAGGATGTAGTTGTAGACAGAATATATAATAATTCTGACAAAGCCACATGTGGTTGTATGGGTAATTGTGGGGTGAAATTAACTTACTAGTAAAGTTTGGTTTAATGCTGCACTAATCCATATTTTTAAATTAACATGAGGTTAAATCACTATATGTAATGGTCGCTTATAGTGGTGAACCCACCAAGAATCATCACCTGACTCTGTAGTTCCCCTCAACTGAACTCCACAGCTGTGATTTACAGTTTCAGATCACTCTCACCCCTCTCGTTAGCCTCATTTTCAGCAGCAGCAGTGAGCTGTTTCCGGGGACAAAGCACTGAAACATTGATCAAATGCTACCTAGCCAGAACCAAACAATAGGCGTCAAAAGTTACACCAGCTTTTGAACACAATAGAGGATTTAGTTGATAAAGATCCATACATTTTGGATACAGTGGACTTACACATGGCAGGTGGCCAGAAACACAACTTCAAATAAACTACAATGTTTCTCCACATCTGCTGGATGTAAATGAAACTATTTGTTAATATGCCCTCCATATCAACCAACTTCAACAGCTGCTAGTATAAGAAATATTAACTTGTACTGTTTTACCCACACAGCTCATGTCAAAAATATAAGTTTGTCTCCTCAATAGCCGGAAAATACCTTGTATGAATGGGAAATCTGTGAATGTACATGTAGACCTAAACCCTGACAGCAAATTTTGTTGTCTTAAACATGTGCTTTGGATGTTTAATATACTTTGATAACTGACATATCTTACCTGTGTATTCATTTACAATGCAGACACAAAAACAGTAACCATGTGTGTGGAGCCTCAATAGTCTAACTGTATGCATACACAGATGCATGGATAGAAAGCATGTGTTACACTGTACCAACATGCCAGAGCTTTTCTTGCTAGTGAGCCCTTGACTGTCAGTGAGACAGCCTTTCTGCATTGGAGCTGGTCATCAGAGTACAGGAAAGCAGAGGAGCATCCAGGTTATTTCACCTGGGCTCACCTCTATAGAAGGCAATCTGAGTGAAAAACAACAGCTCAGGGCTTTGACACACACCACACCAGGACATGCTCCACTAGGCCAGTTAGCATTTTACCTCTACACCATTGCAAGTGTGTTCCATATTTGTACCCCCAAAGTTCCATAAATACTGCAGATTCTTATGCTACAGGTAATTAATGTGTTGAACGGGAAGAGGATGAGGATGTTAGGCATTGTGAAAACAGACCTGGTGGCTCTGTTGTGGTATCAGGTCTATTTTGAAAACATGCAGGGCAGGTAAACATTAATGAACACAAACACATTCTCATGCAGTGTATTATCTTCAGAAAAAATATAGAATTTCATACACTGCATGTGTGGACAAATGGTTTTTCTAATGTCAAGCTTTTATGTTGTTACACTATGTTGTTCAACCTGGGCAAGCTGATGGTGCAGACAAGTACACACACAATACAGTATGCTGTGATGCTGGTATATACCTTGAAGTCTTCTGGAAGGAGCAATTTGCTGGTCCTCAGGAAACTGAGAATGTAGCGAAATATCTCACCATCCCGATCTATGAAGTAGTGCTGCTTCAAGCTGTCCAACACGATGGGCTCGGTGCCATTGAACAGACGACTGATTCTGAAAATTGAAATACACACCCACAAACGCGCACACATGCAGGCAGCCGCACACACACACACATAATGGAATGAACCAGCTTCCTTCAAATGCATGAAACAATTACCCTCCATTTATTTTTCAATTTTATTAGCACTAAGCTTGAAATGCATTAGCATCCCAGGTTGAAACAAGGGGCTTAAGGCACCGTTTCTCCATTCCAGACTTGTTTGAAGTGTCCCTTCTGCAGAGAGATTACAACAGTACGCACGCTTGCTGCTTGTACTTACAGAAATTAATGGCATGAGTGTAGCAATACTGCTCTATTACTCCATCTGTCAGAAGGGTGGAAATGAAACAGAAATAGAAAATGGTGAATGGCCATATATTAAGAGGAGAAGGATATGTGGAGAAAATATTTTGCCTTTACATTTCAACTTTGTTATAACTTAAGAGGAATTCAGACAGCTGCACCCAAACTCTATGCCGTCTAAATAGAGTTACACTTGGTGGTGATATCTATGTATTTTATTTATATAAGTCTCAATCACTGGGTCATTTTATTGATTTAATGACTCTAGCATTTAAAGCTATTTTTAATTTGAGTGCCCTTATTTAATGTGTAGAAATCAATAACCATAGTCCAAGATACATACTGTATATTGGTGATATAGAGCCATGTCACTGAATATGTTTCATTTGCACTTTGGTTCCCTTGTATTAGTGGTTAGATTGAATTAAAGGCAAAGTAATTGCTTGAGACACTTTAGCACAGACCCAAATGTTAATTTATTTGGTTCATAATTAAAGACAAAAACTGAAACCATCTAAAAATGAAAAGAACATCTGAGATAATAAAAATAGCAACATTACCAAAAATTATATCAGTGATGATTTCCTATTAAGAAAAACAATAATTATCTTCAACAATAGTTAGATGTATGTGTTTAAGCTTTCACCAAACACAGATTTTTTGGTGTAATAATAAGACACTTGTTGCTGCCTAGCATCCCACACTTAACCCATTTCACTAATGTACTGCATGATTAAGGGCTTAGTCGACCACAGGGGCTCGTCAAGGCAAAAAGTGGAAATTGCTGTTATCTTTAAGCTTTCATCACACCATGTTGGTGCCAGGCCTCAAAGACACCCTTGGACAGATGCTCATTTCCCCTTGTTGTTGGGTCTTTCTGTGGCTTACCTGCAGGTTCCTCTCTCACTGCTCCAATAATCTCATCTAGGCACCTCCACTCTATCTGTTTGTTCAATTCCAAATGCTAAATATTCCTTTTCAATAATTAAAAAACATTAAGTAAAACGTGAAACTTAGAATTTTTTTTCTACTTCCAAAGCCCAAAACTCTGAAGAGCAACATTTTACTTTTATCTCTGGAACAAAGCTCAGCCTTCCCTCACCTGGGTACCTGTGCAGTGTCAATACTAGTGAGTTACATGAGAAATCTTGGTGTGCTTTAATGTAATTAGTTCTTCAATCACAGTAAAGGCTTCTAGGTTAAGTGACAAAGTGTATGACAAAGAAAACTGTAAAACCTATTCGCAAGCAAGCCAGCTGATATGCACATACACCTAGCCCTGCCTGATGCCTGGGTGACAGCACTGTCAAACTCTATTACAAGACACTGGAACGGAGCCGCAGTGGGAATGTCAGTGAGCAAATAGCAGAGCTGGCTTCACTGTCAGACTCATTTTACTGAATTTACAATTAAAATCCTCTACCTAGTGAAAGTGTGTGAGCTTGGATTTAATGGCTATATCAGGTATATCCTGACCCTGATGTGTTGGCTTGACACACTGAAGCTCTCACATAAAATTCACCCTGTTCTTTTTTCCTTTGACTTGGCTGTGTGAAGAAGAAAAGCAAAGATGGTTCAGTCTCCTTCTCTTCCCTCCTGCCATCCTTCTCTTTTTTACTCTTTCTTTCTTTCTTTTTCTATCCATCTCCATCCTTCTGCCTTACTCGCTTTCTCTCTGGAAATCGATGCAAAATGCTTTATAAAAAACCAATACTCATCTCCCTCTTTTGCCCGAGGTGTTCCTTTCTCATATGGTCTTGCAATTCTTCCAGCTAGAATTTCACCATACCCCTCCAGGCTAACTCTGTTTTTCATCTCCACTTTTTTTTAAAGCAATTAAAATGCTGCCTGTTTTTCTTTTTCTTTCCCTCTCTCCTACTCCCTTCCCTCCCTCTCTCTCTCTTTCTCTGTTGGTCTTCTCATTTTCTCCCTCTCTGTTAAATCCCTCAATTGGAAGGGGGCTGTTTTTAACAGGTACGCAAAGAGAAAAGGGTCTTGGGGCGGGAGGGGATTGGGGTGGGGGCCTAGACAAATTAGGTGAGAAGATACATAAACAGACAAGCCAAAGATAAAGAGACTGATGGGGAGAGCGAGAAGAGAAAAAGGAGGGGTAGGCAAAGATGGGGGAAACCAGATAGAGAAATCAAAAGACAACAAAATACAGAAAACAAAAGTAAAGAGGGGAAAAGAAGGAAAAAAGCAAACAGAATACAAGAGGAAGCCAGTGAGATGGAAAGAGAAAAAGCTATGGCAGAACTGAAGAGAAAAAGAGGAGAGGAGGATGGTGGGATTTGGAGGTTATTAAGGACAGGAACAGCTCAGATCTCCCATCTCACAGCTGTCAAGTGAGGGCATGCAATGGGGCAGTAGTGGGGTATACTGCATCCGACAGGATCTTCTTTGCAGCAGCTACAGCTGACCAGCAGCTGAGAGCTGCCAGAGACGTGTCTTCAGGAGGTGGGAGGAGGACCCAGCACAGGTGATACTGTTTGGAAACCCTAACACTAATGTATGCCTAATGAATGTAAGGCACACAACAGCAAAGTGCACTCCCAGAGATCTCGGTGAGCATGTCCAGCCTGACATCAAAGGCTGCCCACAATGGCTTCTGAATAGGGAAAGTCAGTGAGTGAGCTCAAAAGCACTTACTGCTCCTGGAGCTCTGCTCAAAACAGCTGCAAAATACCCAGCAAACCGATTCTTCAAATAAGTTCTCCCAAGGGGTGTGAGACAAAAGGTTCAAGAGGTCTGATGAATATAATGACATTTAGAGAATACCATAATGACTATTCAAATCAGGTTCCAATACAAATGTAA